TTTTCCCATTCTGTAGGCTGTCGCTTTGTCTTGTTGACCATGTCCTTTGCTCTACAAAAGCTTCTCAGTTTCAAGAGGTCCCATTTATTAATTGTTTCTCTCAATGTCTGTGCTACTGGTGTTATATTTAGGAAGTGATCTCTGGTGCCAATACATTCAAGACTACTTCCTACTTTCTCTTCTGTCAGGTTCAGAGTAACTGGATTTATGTTGAGGTCTTTGATCCACTTGGGTTTAAGTTTTGTGCACAGTGACAGATATGGATCTATTTGCAGCCTTCTACATGTTGACATCCAGTTATGCCAGCGCCATTTGTTGAAGATGCTTGAGGGTGGAGCAAGGGGAACACTCCTACACTGTTGGTGGGAACGCAAACTTGTACAGCTACTTTGGAAATCAATATGACGCTTTCTTAGAAAATTGGTAATCAATCTCCCCCAAGACGCAGCTATACCACTCTTGGGCATATACCTAAGGAATGCTCAATCACACCACAAGGGCACATGCTCAGCTATGTTTATAGCAGCATTGTTTGTAATAGCCAGAACCTGGAAACAACCTAGATGCCCTTCAACTGAAGAATGGATAAATAAAATGTGGTACATATACACAATGGAATACTACTCAGCAGAGAAAAACAATGACATCATGAGGTTTGCAGGCAAATAGATGGATCTAGAAAAAATAATCCTGAGTGAGGTAACCCAGACTCAGAGGGACAAACTTGGTATATACTCAGTCATAGGTGGGTATTAGATATAAAGCAAAGGATGACTAGAGTGTTACTCACAACTTCAGAGAGGCTACCTAGTAAAGAGGACCCTAAGAAAGACACAGGGATCTCCCAATGACAGAGAAATGGATGAGATCTACATGAGCAAACTGGACTGAGGGGGGATAATGAAGGGCAAGGGTCGGGGGAAAGAGAGCTTAGGGGAGCGGGAGATCCCAGCTGGATCAAGAACAGAGAGAGAGAACAAGGAAAGAGAGACCATGATAAATGAAGACCCCATGGGAATAGGAAGAGGCAAAGTGCTAGAGAGGTCCCCAGAAATCCACAAGGATACCTCCACAATAGACTACTGGCAATGGTCAAGAGAAAGCCTGAGCTGACCTACTCTAGTGATCAGATGGCCAAACACCCTGTCATGATAGAACTCTCATCCAGTGACTGATGGAAGCAGATGTAGAGATCCACAGCCAGGCCCCAGGTGGAGCTCCTGGAGTCCAATTGGCAAGAAAGAGGAGGGATTGTATGAGTGAGAGGTGTTGAGACCATGATTTGAAAAAGCACAGGGACAAATAGCCAAACTAGTGGAAACACATGAACTATGAACCAATAGCTGAGGAGCCCCCATGGAACTGGATCAGGCCCTCTGGATAAGTGAGGCAGTCGATTAGCTTGAACTATTTAGGAGGCCCCCAGGAAGTAGGACCGGGACCTGTCCTTGGTGCATGAGCTGGCTTTTTGGAACCTAGGGCCTATGCTGAGACACTTTGCTCAGCCTAGGTGAAGGGAGGAGGGGACTGGACCTGCCTCAACTGAATCTACCAGGCTGAGCTGAATCCCCAGGGGAGTACTTGCCTTGGAGGCTATGGGAATGGGGGGTGGGCTGGGGGGAGGGCTGGGGTGGGTGGGAGGAGGGATTACAGGGGAATCCATGGCTGATATGTAAAATTAAATTAATTATAAAATTAATTTTAAAAAAGAATACTTTTTTTTTCACTAGTGAGACGCCCTTGGAGAAAACCCAATTTTTGTTTGCAAATGACTTCAATTGTAGATAGCTTCTGGGATAGTGCTAGACTCATGTGTCCACTGCTCCCAGCTCTAGGACTCCATCTGGTGCAGACCTGTGCAGGTCCTGTGCATGCTGCCTCATCTCTGTTGAGTTTCTGTGTGGTCCTGTTGACTTACAGGGCCTTGTTTCCTTGGTGTCTTTCCTTCTGGCTCTTACATTGTTTCTGCATTCTTACACTCTTACATTCTTTCTCATTTTTTTTTTTAATGGAGATTTCCCGGTTTAGAGATGACTATTCTAAGGTCTCTCATTGCCTTCATATTGTCTGGCTGTGGGTCTCTGTATTCGTTTCCTTCTGCTGCAGGGGAGGAAGTTTCTCTGATGATGGCTGAACTGAGCAAGGCACTGATTGGCTTCCCTGGCCAGCATCTACAAGGCTTTGGTCTCCTGGAGGGAGACCTAAACTTCCTAAATTTCCAGAGGCTCCTTTCCTGACTCTAATTATTAAGAAATTTTGATGATGTTGAAGAGAACACAACACAGAATCCAAGTCCATTTCATATCATTTTTATTTTTCTATTGACCATTAGCTTTTCTTTTTCTTTCTTTTTTTTTTTTGTTTTTTGTTTTTTGAGACAGGGTTTCTCTGTGTAGCTTGGTGCCTTTCCTGGTTCTTGCTCTGTAGACCAGGCTGGCCTCGAACTCACAAAGATCCGCCTGCCTCTGCCTCCCAAGTGCTGGGATTAAAGGCGTGCGCCACCACCGCCCGGCTAAATTTTTTTTTTTTTTCTGAGACAGGGTTTTTCCTGTGTAGCTTTGCACCTGTCCTGGAACTCACTCTATAGTCCAGGCTAGCCTCGAACTCACAGAGATCCGCCTGCCTCTGCCTCCCGAGTGCTGGGATTAAAGGTGTGCACCACCACCACCTGGCCGACCATTAGCTTTTCTTGCTTGCTTTGTACGGCAGACTTCTACTGAAATAATATTCTCTCTTATTATGTATTTAGTCTGTAAGCCTTGGTAGCCTATTTTCAGTCTGCACTAGTTTTAAAGGTGTCATCTTGAAGGTTACTCAAGTTTAAAATCTTTATTTTTGATAGTCTTTCCTAGGTCATCATACTTCAACAAATACTGACTTTTTTTTTTTTTAGTAGAGTCTAGTTTTCTGTTGTGACACTCTAAATGCTTCACTTGCCAAGGGCTTTCCTCTGTCTTCAAATGTCTCAGTCCACTCCCAGAGCCTCCTGCAGCTTTTTCTCTAACACTGTTATGGTTTAATTGTCATCTTGACACCATCTAGAATCACCCAGGAAGAGATTCCCAATGAGGGATTGTCTAGATCAGGTTAGTCAGTGGGCATGTTTGTATGAGATTATCTTGATTGCCTTGATTGATGTATGAGGCCCAAGCCTGAAAGTAGGCGGGACCATCCCCTGATTGGGGGCTCTTGACTATAGAGGAATAGAGAAAACAGCCGAGCAGTAAACGTGGGTGCGTTCATTTCTCACTGTGGATGTGATGGGACTAGCGGCTTCAAGTTCTTGCCACTTTGACTTCCCACAATAATGAAATGTAACCTGGAACTGTGAGCTAAAATAAGTCCTTTCTCCTCTAAGTTACTTTTGTTAAGTTATTTTATCACAGTTATAGGAAGAAAAGTAGGACAAACACTGATAGGCTCTTACACTTCAGTGCTGTATTATTTCTCAGTTTTTGTATATCCTGGACAACGAGTTGAACCTCAAATTTAGTCATCTAAAATGGAACTCACCATTCCTACCCAGGCCTGTATACCTTCCTTCTAATTTCCATGCTTTAGCATTTCTCATGTATGGAGACGATTAAAAAAAAAACTGGTCACTGTGTTTTACATAAATCATTTAACTTAATCCCTAAAGGCATTCATATTTCATCAATAAGTAACTTAAGACCAGAACTGGCCAACTGAAATGTCTAATGATTTTTGCCTAAGAATAGGAAACCAGTCTACTTAAATTGGATGCTAAATCCATAGTTTTTACACTATGTTGACAGAACAGTAACTATTATTATTAATATTTATTTATTATTTTTGTGTGTATGTATGTGCATCATGGTGAACACATGATGGTCAGAAGATAATTCTTCTTCCACTAGGGATTGAACTCATGGCACCAGGCTTACTTGGCGGGCACTTTACCCACTGAGCCAGCTCGAAGCTCCCAGAGCGATTACTATTAAATAGCAACAGAATCATCAAAGAATATTCGTTTATGTTTTTGTTGCTGCATTTACTGAGAATGGAAAATGGACAAGTCAACTTTGGAAAGACTGTGAACCTTTTACAAGAGCTGAGATACCTCAAATGTTTCCATTGAATTTGGTTACTAAAAGCTAACAACAACAACAACAACAAAACCCTTTTCCTAATTCCTAATTTAACCAAGGTCATGCTACCTAATAAACTGGGTATTTACTTTCATCCCTAATGTTGAGTTCATAATAAGGATACTTGTTTTTAGTGTCTATTGCTACAGTCAACAATTGAAACTCTTGGAGTACTGGGCCTTAGTGATAACTTATGCTTGATAAATGAGGCAGACAATTCTAAAATTAATCAGATGATCAATAGGAGCAGTAACCAAACAGCACAGAGCTGTCTAATGGCGTGTCAAGTGGGGACTAAATGATAGGTTGTATGGATTGATTCTAAAGGATGCAGCATTGTTAGGCGATTGAACACTGAACAACTGTTATTTCAGTACCATTTTTTATGTAATTTAGACTGAATGAACTTGATAGATGAAATCCCTGCTGAATTAAGGAGTGGTGATTGTCTCATTTTAGACTCTGCCTCATCTAGGTCAAGAAGTTCCAGAAATGATGAGTACATTTACTTGGTACATTAAACACATCCACTTTCCAACCCTTCTTCTTGTTGTTTCTTTAACAAGTGTGTCTGGAGTATGACTGTGCTTTAGGGAGTGACAACAGCCTTGAGTGGAAGCTGGTGATGTCAAAGACTCAGCAGACTGTTCCCTGACCCTGAGGCATTTTGTCTCCATTTTTGTTATTTTTCTCAATTACTCTGAATGACAAGTTTAAAATCAAAGGAATCAAGAATTTTGAATCCAAAAACAAAGTAGTTCTAGCTCTTGGCAGAGGATTTGATGAAAGGTCTATAATCAGGAGAAAAGGGAATGAAGAGGGTCTCTCTCTCTTCTGTTTCACTTACCTTGGAGGTACAAATGACACGGTGATTTTATTTGGAACTTTCAGGAAGGGGTCCAGATCACCATTTCTCAGGAAGCACAAAGGATGGGTCAGAAGAAGCCCACGTCTGCCTGCCCTGCAGAGAAGGCTGCCCCTTCTGTGCTGACGACCGCCCGTGCTTTGTCCAGGAGGATAAGTACCTGCGACTGGCGATCATCTCCTTCCAAGCCCTGTGTTTGCTGCTGGACTTCGTCAGCATGCTGGTGGTCTACCACTTCCGCAAAGCAAAGGTAAACCCAGGTATCCCGGTCCTGGACTTTCTTTATACTAAGAGTAATTGCTTCTCTCTTTAGGGAGACTGAATTTCCAAATCCCTGTTAGTGTTCTAGTAAGCAGACATTTTGTTTTGTTATAATGTGATTGGGTGACAGCCATATCCATAAGCTTCCCAAGGAAAGCAGGGTTAATGATATTTTGTGTTAGCATTTCCTTATAGAGAAGGTGCTTTCTGTTTATCTGGGGGCTCTAATGCTCCACTGCCCTGAAGGACTGTCCTTAGTGTCATCTCTTTGGTCACCGGAGGACCTTCTGCTCCTCTGCCCAGTGTAGGGTTTATTCTTCATCTCTAGAAGGCCCTGTTGTGGTTTTGTTTTGCTTTATTTCTCTTAGTAATATTTAAAGGTGTAAAGAATTCACCTATTTATTTTTAGCACATTATACTCTGGAAAATAACTATTCATGACCTTACATGTGGTCTTGTATTACTATCCAGGGATGATAGATGTGCTAAAACACCCAGGGCAGAGTTTTCTGGGGAGCTTTCTCCAGTGGTCAGAAATGAGTCACGTGAATCAAGTGTTGTGTTAGAATGTCTGATTCTGTTGCTTTACAGTGAGTTCTTTGTGGCACTAGAAAAGACAGTAAGTTTCCACCCTTCTTGAATTGAAATGACCTCTTCATCATGACAACATTGTTAAGATTGTTGTAGATTATAGAAATTTTTGAAAATATGAGTCCCCACTAGGAATTTAAAAGAAAAGAAGCCTTTTTGGATATTATCTTCTATGAAGCCACTAGCTAATATTTTTAAGACATAATTAAGATTCTAATAAATTGTATCCACTATGCTAATGTTATAGATGTTATTAGTTACTTTTAATAGCAGGCAACACAGTTAAAATCAAGCATTGAGTCATCAGGAAAATGCAAACATGCAATTTGCTTCCATTTCACTAGCACTCATCTTTCTCTTGAAGAAAAACTATGTTGATTTTATGTATATTAAAATAGTAGACTAATACGTTGCCAGATAACATTTTTTTAAAAAGCAACTCAGTAGCAGAGCCAGAACTGAAAAGTCTATTTAATAAACTGCTCTGAAATCTCTCCGATGTAATAAATTCATTAGACAGTGGATACCATAGTTCTTTATGAATTTTAATCATTAATGATTGCTATGTTAAATAAATCAGTGATAAATATGGGTAGAATGCATCATTGGGTACTGAGAAGCTTCCTATAGATAGCTCTGACTAAACCAATGTCTTAACATATTAATGTTATTTCACACAATTATTAACCTTTCGGATCTCCCCAGACCTTCAGAGGAAATGGGCAGCAACTGACCAGAACCATTTTTTTTTTTAACAAGGCTGCCATGAGAATACATGTCTTTACATATAATTTTGATATAATTTCTTAGATATTTAGTTTGAAGATGATTACCTTTTGAAATCAGTTTTCCTAGAATGAGACATAATGAAAACGGACCTAAGTTAGTGAGACCAAGGAACACCAATCTGGCATATTAAAGAAAGGAAATATTTGCTGATGTTTCCTCTAGTGATTTAATTTGCCAAACTGGGTTAACTATAACAGTAATAATACATTTCCAGCATAGAGACTCCATATGTCTAGCATGTGGACTTTAGAATTTCTATTTAAACTTTTTTGTGTGTCTTGACAACATTTCTTTACACAGTAATGAAACCCTAAGGGACAACACTAACACTTTATCTAGATATTTCTCTTTGTATTTTCTACTCCTAATAATTAAAAGGACAAAATGTACTCATTTTTGCCAATTTCATCTATTTTGACAAAAGAGAAAAAATCCAGTTGTAATATAGTTGTAGCATGACAATTGTCAGGTATATCATTTAGAATTAAATCCCATCTCAGACTCCCTTGGACTAGTTTCCTCCTATGTGAAGTGGGGCCAATACATCAAACCCCAAACGCCGATCCAAAGTGTAACGTAGACCTAAATGGAAGAGCCATAACTAAGAGTCTTTTCTTAGATGGAAACATAGGTGCAGATCTTCAAGGCTTTGGATTACTCATTTTTTAAAGCATAAAACCCACAAATAATAGAACAAAATGATAAATTGTACTTTATGAAAATTGCCATTTTAGACCATGAAAATACACTATTGAGAAAGTCAAAAGACAGCCCATAGAAGAGTAGAAAGCATTTACAAGATGTGTGTGTGTGTGTGTGTGTGTGTGTGTGTGTGTGTGTGTGTGTGTGTGTGTAGAGAGAGATATTTTAAAATGGAGAAAATATCTGAGTAGACATTTCTTCAAAAAATGTATGATAATCCAACAAACACATGAGAAGATGTTCAATAATATCGGTTATTAGGAAAATGCAAATCATGCCTATAATACCCACTAATGTAGCTAAAATATTTTTAAAATTCTATTAACAAGTGATGAGATTAGAGAAATTGAAAAATCTCCCATTTATTTCTACTGCAGATGCAGAACAGTGTGCCCAGACTGAGAAACATCTTGGTAATCCCTACAAAATTTAAAATTTTGTACAATATGACTCAAGTATTATATTCCTAATACATGTCTACATAGAAATGCAAATAAATGTTCATGAAAGTGTCATCCACAACAGTTAAATGGTGAAAGCATCCCAGATGCCCACCAATTAATACAAATGAATAATTAAGATGTGATACTTCCATATACTAGAATACCATTTGTCAATGAAAAGGATTATGTACCAATACATGGTATAAACTTGAAGATGCTAAGTAGGAAAACAATTGTAAAATACAATATGTTGTATGATTCCATTCATCAGAAATGCTCCGAATAAGCGAATTCATTGATCCCAGAAGGAGATTAGTGGTTACCAGGGACTACCAGAAGAGAAGAATGGGGAGTAACCACCAATGAGATGAGGGTATGCAGGGTGTATAGTGGGATACAAGATTCCAGAATTTTAAAGGCATTTATATATCACCTATCTCCAGAACCAGTGATGAGAGGTTCATCAGTTCAAGTAGAATTAGCCTTAACTAGGCACTGGTCTTTTGTCACCTGTGGGTCCACATATGACATTTAAATAGTTGAAAAGAGTTGGAAGGTGCAGCCCTGGCTTTGAAGCTCACACCTGTGCTACATGCTCATTCACATGCTAGTTGACTCCAAAACCATTACTATACATCTACTTCTACATAGCCTTTGTCTGAAAAGAGATATTAAATGTACAATTAAACTAAACTAAGAGTTACTTACCCTATTTATAGCAGTGTCTTTTCTAGGAAGGTTTAATTTTCCTTCAAAATGAGAGCTATGGAGAGCTCTCCTGGCTATCAATTGTTAAGCCATTGAGGATATTTAGAAACCAGACTCATGCTGTGTATAGTCTCATTATTAGAGAAACAATTGAAAAGTTCATAATATATGAGTAAATATATTTGTTATTTTCCTAGTTTTCATTTGGAAAGAGAAACATTTTTTTTTCAGAACTGGAATCATGTCATATACAATACCCAGACTTGGAGGGTTTGTTAGTTACCCAAGTTAGTACAGCTGGGTTGGGAAATTTATATCTTTGTACTTTATTTTGCTCCAGCCAATGGCATATGCACTTTCAGGAGATGAATAGAATATAGCCAAATTAAAATTAGAATAGAAATATTAATGAAAGTAAATGGTGAGGTTAAGATAGGAATTGATTTTTTGAGGTCAGGGTTATGGCTTCAACCGGTTGTTGGAAAGTCAGAGACAACAGGGAATTTTCCAGCAGCACTATAGAATGAAAATGATACAGCCCGCCCCCAAATACAAACCAACCAAAAGAAACTCTAATGTCCTGTCACTGAGCCTTGAATGAAATGTCTTCTGTGGATCATCACATAAAGAGGCTATAAAATGTAAAGATCGGCTACATCCTTCCATAATCTCTTCTACCCCTTTCTGCTCCTTTGCCTTGATTATGTTGAGGTGTGAGGTCTTGAGCACAGCTCAGACAAATAGACTCTTAGAGTGCTCCACGGTGCTCTGACACATTGCTTCTCGATTCTGGGTTTGTGTTAAACATGTTCTCACTGTGATAAAACACCTGAGAGAACATTTTAAAGGAGAACATTTAAGGCTTGGGTTCATAGTTTCAGATGATGCAGTCTATCATAATGGGGAAAAGACCATGGTGGTGGTGTATGTTCACATGGTGACACACCTGAAAAAAAGAGAGTTATACCAGAACTAATGTCAGCGTGACCTTCACATGCCTGCCCCAATGACTTTCTTCTATCACCTCCTTCTCCTAAAGGACTCACAGCCTTAGAGTAGTCCTTCAGTCTGAGCACTGGGTGATCTAAATGTAAGCCTATGGGGTGACACTTCATTTTCAAACCCTAACAGTAATAAATGGTGAGGGGGTCTACCGAGAGACATATACCTTAAGAGGAACACACTGTTTTATCTATAGGATCTACAATGAGGGAGGGATGGGGGTGTCTGGTTACAGAAGCACCTCAGTTTGTTCCCTGCTACCTCTGTTGTCAGCCTGAGAATCTTAGACTTCCATAGTTTACACCAAAATTCAAGATATAACATGTCTTAATCGCCAGTAGGGTGTATTTGCAATATTTTCTTTAGGGTCACTAGCCATGGAACATATTGGAACTTGAGTCTCTTTTATTTAAAGTGGACCACTTTTGTGAATTAACAGAAATAACCACACTGACAGGTCAAAATATAGGAAAATATTAGCTTTATCAAACCCAGCACAGGCCAAATCACTGTAATGGTAATAGTTCTGCTCTCAACTGAAGCAATAAGTATTCACAGTAAAAGACCTAAGTGGGTTCAGAGACTAGACTGGTCAGGTAATTCAGTCTGGTTCTGAGTACATTCATTTGAACAAGGTTAACCTAAACCAAATTCAAAAGAGCAGCTCCCCACAATTCTCTAGCAAATAACTAACAGTCAGGGATCAACAACTACTCTAACACCTTATTCTTTTAAATGATGTAACTGAGATTCT